ATCCCCCTTCATTGGGTGGCTACCTGCATCAGCACGCAATAGCCTTCTGCCAGTGAAAAGCTGTGGTCGCTACTGTGTGCTCCTTTGATCTTGATCTATTTGCTTCAGGGCAAATCCGCGTGGCAGCGGAGCCCGATCAGGGCTCAGGATAGACAAGACACTGCTCCCGAACCATAGCAGTGATGACACAGATGCCAAAGGAGGCTGAAGGGTCAATCGACCCCAAGCTTCCATGGTGGGGTGGCGATTGGACGACTTTTCAAGACTACTCCTTGCGTGTGGAGCTGAAAGCAGACGCGACAAAGAAAGAGGACCTTCCGCAGTTAGGCCCTCGCCTGGCGACCAATTTGATTGGCAAAGCCTTTGATGTTTTGGGAAGCTTGGACCGCGAAGCCTTGAAGAAGGAGGACGGATGGTCCTACTTGCTGAAACATCTGGAAAAGACGCGAGGCAAGACCAAAGTGGATGTTCTTGGAGATGCGTTTGCCGAGCTCTTTGTGCGGAAAGATGTGTATCGTCGAGATGGAGAAGAAATGAGTGACTATGAGAGTCGCTACAGGGCGCTTGTGAGAAAGGTGGAGAAGGCTTTGACAGCAGTTGCCTCTGGTAACAAGATGCCTAGTGAAGTGTTTGGGTGGTTCCTCCTCAACATCTTCATTCGGCTGGATACGTCAGACACTGCTAACGTGAAGGCTAAGGCAGCAACCTATGCCTTGGATGACGTGCTCAGTGCCTTGAGCACGATGTGGTCTGGCGGCAGCTTGGCGCAGCGCGATGCTGAGCTGAAGCGGCGTCGAAAGGAGACTGGCAGCTATCTTTGCGAAGATCAAGGCGAGAACGAGGTCTTCCAAACCGAGGCCCAGAGCTGGCAGGATGACGACGCAGAAGACGACGACATGGACGATACCATGACTTGGTATAAGCCCTGCTGGAAGAGTCGGATGATGACGTGATCTTAGCCAACTTTAGAGAACTCGACAGGCTTTGGACCGGGCACGCCCGGCCCGTGGCTATTATCCCGCGAAGAATCCTAACTACCGCAGGAGCGGGACGAAGGGCAAGGGCAAGGGCGACTAGCGACAAGATCTGCATGCGATGTGGAAAGAAAGGGCACATCGCACGGATCTGTCCTCAGAGACCAGGCGCTGGAAAAGGCCAAGGCCGAGGAGGAGAAGCCCACTTCGTTCGCTACACCGTCCTGGTGCCACCCATCGAGGATGAGATCGATGGCATGGAGACTCGAGAGATCCACGCATGGCTTCTCGAGGAGAATCTCGATGATGTCTTCGAGGAAGCTATCGAGGATGAGCCCAACGCAGTGCACGTGGTGAGCTGTATGCAGGTGGAGGGTCTCAGCCAAGAGCCTCAGCCCTTGGCACCGGTGATGTCAGCGACGTCTAGTGGAAAGGCCTGTGCCATCATCGACAGCGGTGCCAGCGAAAACATCGTTGGCAAGGATACCCTCCAGGAGTTGGCCGACCACCTCCAAGAGTTGGACTTCGATCCCAGTGCCGAGTTGAGATAGATCGGCGCATTCACAAGCAGTTTTTTGGGTTGAGTCATGTGAATGCTGGGATTCTAGGTCAACAAGTGGAAGTGCAAGCTCACATGGTAGAAGGTGCCACGCCTTTTCTCCTCTCCGCTAAGTTCCTCTATGATGTTGATGCTACCATTAATTTCCGTACTGGGGTTGCTGTGTTTCGGAAATTGTCTGAGGAACACTTTCAGCTGAAGCGCAGTGCAAGCAACCATTTGCTGCTACCGATGACTGCTTTTGCCGGGCGACAAGATGTGTTAGAGTCTCTTAGGGTTAGTAGGGATCCGGTTGTGGAGAAGATTGCCGGCAGCAGCAGTGATGGAGCTGTTCTCGTACAGAACGAGAGCCAGAAGGGGGATCCGAGCCAAGAAGTGATTTGCACTTCGACTGAGTAGGGACAGCTCCACCAAGGTTGCAATGGACAAAGTTGCTGTAACAGCGACGGGATAGCCTTGAGTGGGGCTGGGGATCAGGTTCCTGAAAAGGGTTTTCTGTTGGATTGTTGGGATGGTCCGTCTTCGGAGCTGTCCGAATCTTTGCGAAAGCATCTCGAGCAAGAAGTTGACTTTGGTAGGGTTGAATTTCAGAAGTCATGGGAAGTTTTGGTTAATGGTTCTTCTTTAGATTTGCTCGAGGGGTGTGCGCCTTGGGATTCACCGCTGTCTCAGGCGGTGCGCGAAACTGGAGGACGGGCTATGTCCATAGGGGTTCATAATGGATATGATCTTAGCACCTCCGAAGGTTTCCGTAGGGTTTTGGCCTTAGTGCGCGAGACTAAGCCTCGGTATATCCATGTTTCCCCACTGTGTGGACCTTGGACCAGTCTACAGAACTTGAACGTCAATCGTCAGGACCAGCAACGTAGGCTTATTCAAGAGCGTGTTTGTAGCCGTAGGTTGTTGAAGAATTGTTGTCGGTTAATTGCTGTTCAAAGACAAGAAGTCCAATGTGGGGCAGGATGCAGCTTTGAGGGACACGCGGGTGGAGAACATCCGCACAGAGCTTCCAGCTGGAAGCTGCCAGAAATGAAGGAGATGGTTCGTTTGTGTGGTGGCAAGCGCTTTGTCGTGCATGGATGTGAACATGGACTCAGGGATGCTACTTCTGGTAAGTTGCATAAGAAGCCCTGGGGTTGGTTTACTAGTTTATGTAGGGTTCAACAAGCTTTGGAAAGACCATGTACACATTCCCAAGAACAGCATGAGCCGATCCAAGGTGGACGACGTAGTGCCCAAACTGCTACGTATCCTTACCTCCTATGTCGACGCTTTGCTAAGGCCCTTATGGAAGAACTTTACCAAGGAGAAGCCAAAGTAAAGAGTCGGACACCTTGGAGAAGCTCGAAAATCCTTGTCGGCAGCTCAGAAGAAGAGGTCGACCCTTTTGCCGAAAGTGACATGGAGCAGCATGAGGCAGAACCCGAGGGTGTACATAATCAACCTGCCGAACCCCCTAATGCTGGTGAGGAACCTTTTGTTTGGGACCCCGAAATTAAAAGGAAGTTGACGTTGGTTCATAGGAATCTTGGTCACCCCAACAAGCAGGTTCTCCTTAGAATGCTTAGGGATGCCCATGCTAGTGCTGAAGTGTTGCGACAAGCCGAGCACTTTGAGTGCCCCGAGTGTCTTCAACGTGGTAGGCAAGCTCCCACTAGACCCTCTACTGTTCCCCATCATGTCAAGAAGTGGGAATGTATGAGCATTGATACGTTTTGGTGGCATACTCCCAAAGAAGCCCTTAAACATGGTGAAACCCCTGACCACATGTTGTGCCTAAGCATGTTGGATGAAGCATGTGACTACCACGCTGTCCACGTTGCGCGCAGCAGCCGGCAAGGACCCCTCTCAAACATGACGGGGCCAGAGTTCAAACGTGCCATGACCTTAGGTTGGTTAAGGTATCTTCCGGCCCCCAGAAGGTTACGTTATGATGAAGAGGGTTTCCTGAAGCGGTTGGATGTTGTTGAATGGCTTGAGGGCATAGGAGTCAAGCTTGAACCCGTTGCAGGAGAGAGCCCTTGGCAAATTGGCAAGCATTCCGAGCACATCCAAACCTTGAAAGAAAACATGAACCTTTTGTGTATGGAACTCCAAAACAAACTTAAGCCTGAGGAGTTGCTTGGGTTGTCGGTGCAGGCCAAAAACAGCATGCATAATGTGCGCGGCTTCTCCCCACATCAGTGGGCCTTTGGACAGGGACACTCTAGAGTGTCGTCGTTTTTGCAGCAGTCAGGGCACCTTCCGAACAGTAGTGCGCGCGAAGATGCCACCTTTGAAGAGTCTCTTCAAAATGAACTCAAAGCGCAGAAGTTGTTTCTTGAAATTGATGCCAGAAGACGGGTACAGCGAGCGCTCCGCGCAAGATGCCGACGCTTGAGGGAGTTCCGGTGTGGGGACCTTGTGTGTTACTATCGGAGGGGGCGGAAAGAAGGTTCCAGGTATGGTGGGCACTGGTATGGGCCGGCTCGGGTTTTGTGTCAGGAGAAAACCGGGGGAGACGGTGGGGTGGTGAAGGGGATGCGCCGGGGTCGATTGTGTGGGTGAGTCATGCTGGGAAAATTCTTAGGTACAGTCCCGAGCAGCTCCGCCGGGTTACCGCTGATCTTAGACGCTTTGATTTCGATGTGAACGGTGAGCAGAGCTTCAGTCACATGTTTGAGCAGATTAGACAGCAGCAGCGGTATCTTGACGTCACGATTGAGCAAACGCCCAGTGACCTTGATTGCAAGAAGATGCTCCCAGATATCGTATCAGGGGTAAGCGGCCGCTCGAAATGCAGCCTACGCCTGATCAAGAGGCTTTGCCCCAGGTTTTCGATCCCTCTCTAGAGCCATCGCAACATGGACCTGCCAGCTCTCCAGAAGGTGAGTTAGCAGCTCAAGGACCAGAGCAAGGCGCTGGAAGCTCGCGTCAGGAGAGAGAGCTTCAAAAGCTTCGCGACTTGAGTCCCGCGGAGATTCGGAAGTTCATGGTGGGCAACGGGAAGTACAAGGGGAAGACCTTCGAAACCTTGTACGCCGACAAGTCCTACGTGACTTGGCTGGTGGACCACATGGCCAAGGAGGGGAAGATCGTCACCAAGGGATGAAGCAGGTGCTGGTGCTCCTGAAGCTTGGCATGAAGGAGGAAGTGGCCACTCCGGCCAAGGACAAGACGGCAACCGTGAGGGACAAGAAGGGCGCCTCCGGAAGCGCCGAATCTCCATCAAGAGTGAAGCGGCAGGTGAACTCCAAAGGGAAGAGCACCGACCACCTCCTCCAGGACGAGGTGATGCAAGACGAGAAGGAGATGTCCGAATGGACACGAGTGGAGGAGCACGAGGCGATCCAAGCGGAGGTAGTGAACCTCGGCCAGCGGATGGCGGTGATCGAGGGCGCCCTCCAGACGATCATCGGAGAGATCCAGAAGGGCAAGCGCCCGTGAAAGGGCGTAGCCGTTCTCCTGTTAGGGCCGAGCGGAGTCAGGCCCCGATGGGAAGGCAAATTTCTTCCGTGTGCTTTGCGAATCATGTTGGGCAGCTGAGTGTGCTTGAGCTTGAGTTTCCCATCGCTCCCCGTGACGTTCATAAGTCCAAGGGTGTGTGGGTTGTGAATCAGAGTGCCAAGAAGAGTGTTGACGTCAACCTTAGGAAGCTGCAGCAGCATGAACAAATCACTTTGAGCACGCCATGCAAGCTGAGACTGATTCGTTTATGAGTACAGAGGCCGTCCGCATCTGCGAGAGAGCTGGGATTCCCCCAGAACGAATCATGAACATGCGTTTTGTGCTGACATGGAAAACTGTCCATGACGATGAGGGCAGAGCTAAAGGCCGTAAAGCTAAGGCTAGACTGATAGTTCGGGGTTGAGTTGCTGTCGGTAAGTAGGGAATCGACCACTCTTTCGAACCTCGGCCGAAATCTTCTGTTGACCGAGTGTGCATGCAGGAAGTTTCCCGTCAGTGTTGGTGACATCCGTACAGCATTTCTGAGAGGAGAAGACTCCGAACTTGATCGCGAGGTTTATGCCCAACCTCCACAGGAGGTAAAGACGCATCTTGGGATGTCGGATACCCAAATCTTTCGGATAGTCAAGGCTATCTATGGGCTCCTTCATGCCCCTAAGAAATGGCATGAATCTTTGACCAAGTTCTTGAAGAACCAAGGGTGGGTTGCACATGCCTTGGATGCTTGTTTGTTTAAACTAGTTGGCCCCCAAAATGATGTGATTGGGTATTTGGGTATTCATGTTGATGATGTGATTACTGGTGGTTGCGGTGATGTGTATGCTGAAAAGATACGTAGCCTCAGGGAGAAATATTCTTTTGGATCTTGGCAGAGCGCCCAGGATTCAGCCGTCGTGTATTGTGGCTGCGAGCTCACTCAGGGGAAAGACTTTCGGATTCACCTCAAGCAGGAACCCCTCGCATTGTCCATTGATGAGATCAATGCACCCAAGGAAAGACAAAAGGAAGGTGAAGCCCAGGTCACGCCCCTAGAAAAGAAGGAGCTACGCAAAGCTTTGGGGGCTCTCAATTGGAGGGCCACTCAGACGGCTCCGTGGATTCTTGCAACAGTGTCTCATCTGCAAGGCTGCGTGGAAAGCGCCACGGTAAATGATCTTCTTCAGACGAACAAGCTTGTTAGACGTCAGAGGCGTTTCCATGATAGGGGTTTGTGTTTTGAAAATGACATGTGTTGAACCCATTATTGTTACGTATACTGATGCTTCATGGGCCACTCGCAGAGACCTCTCCAGTCAGGGCGGACAGATCACCATTATCATGGAGTCGAAGGTGTTACAAGGGGAGAGGGGCAAGTTTTCTGTTCTGTGTTGGAATAGTAGGCGTTTGAGACGTGTTGCTAGATCCTCCACCAGTGCGGAAGTTCAGATGTGTGGAAATGCTCTGGACACTCATGAGTTCGTCAAGCTTGCGTATATTGACTTCATAGGATCCCGTTGTCTGAATCTTCGTAATGCCGATGTCTATCTTCAAGAGTTTACGTCTTATATGGTTTGCGATTCTAGGAACCCTTATGATGCGTTGGCTAAGGTTGAGACTTCGGGGTTACATATGGAGGAGCAGCGAACAGCCATCGAGCTGCTCGGGATCAAGGAACGGCTTTCTCAAGCCAACATCCAGATCCGGTGGGTTGACTCAGACCAGGAACTTGCTGATAGTCTTACCAAGCCCTGGGTTTATGATCAACTCCTTAAAGCGCTGGATTTAGGATACTGGCAGATCGTGTTTGATCCTGAGATGCTTTCGGCAAAGAAGAAGAGAATGCTACGCAAGCAGGGGGACCTGATCCATGAAAGCATTCACTGGCTAAAGAGATTCTTGAGCGGTGAAGATCTGCAGCTGTGCAGCTGGTAGCCAGTGAGTGCATTCGTGCTTTTCCGCTGTTCCTTTCAAGACGG